AAAATAAGAGAGACTCTTGAAGGATATTCTATAATGCTGATCTGGAAGTGGCAATGGAAAATAAATAGAGGAATGCTTCAGAGAGCAGAGGGAAGGACAAAACTGAATGAAGACCAAAGGACCGGGGAGATCTGGCGATTGAAGAAGCTCATATGTTGGGTGGAATTGTGTAATGAACCCAATCAGCCTTAGAATTTCAAAGGTAACGTAATTATATACATTTTAACCAACGCCTACAACATAGCAGGTGCTGAAAAAATATCTGTTAAATTAATGTCTTTTGCTTTTAGGATTTTTTTTCTTATTCTTTATACTTATCTTCCATAACCTAGTCTCAAAACTTGCTAGATTGCTTCCAGGCAGCTTCTGGGCTTTTCCTCATGACAGATTACAAATAGATTGTTCAATGCAATTCAGCTTCCTTCACTGTCTATCTGCTTTCTTTTCCTAGAAATCCCTTTCCATAAAACTTCCAATTTAACTCCATGAGTTAGAGAAACAAAGGCATAACATGTCTGGATTATTATTCTAACTTAATAAAATAAGAGTAACAATACTAACTGGGCTTCTTGTTTTTTAGTGGGGTTTATTTTGGTGAATCACTTTGAAGTTTATCACAAATTATCTAAGTTACACATTTATTTCTCAAAATCCTGAAAGGTAGGCAAGATGGGTATTGGTATTTCCAATTTTGCACAAAGCAGTTTAGACAGGTCTCGTGACTTCCCAAGACTGGCCAGTGTCACACAGCCAAAACATGGGAAAGCTAGACCGGAACGCATGCACTTCAGGTCTAAGTTACAAGCTCAAGGACAGTGGTTCCTTAAACTTTAGTATAAGTTTGTCCAAAGTGTAGATTCAATAGGTCTGGGATGGAGTTTGGAATCTGTATTTGAAGCAAACATCTGATGCTCATGGTTCAGTGACCATACTCAGAAGAAAAACACTAACCTAAAAATCCTTCTTTTCTTATCTCTTAAGAAAAAAAAAAAAGAGGCTGATCTTACCTACCAGTCAAAGGAATTTTTTTTCTTGGAGAAGTGGAACCCCCAGCTCTTCTCTTTTGCAACCTACCCACATGCACTGATAAAGTTAATTATCTGCCCTGGCTAAATGACTTTCCCTAGCAACACCCTAGCAACTAACATCTGCTCTGCCTTAGGCTACAAAACTGGAAAACCCATTTCTTGAAGTCCAGTGTATTTTACAACAGAATAAAACATCTGAACAGGAAATTAAACAGAAAGTAAACTGAATTCATTGCTAGGAGATGAGACATAGGCCCATGAAACAGTTCACGATAATCCATTGGAACACAATAGTCAAAATAAGAAACTTTCTCCTCCTAAGTCCTATTGAAGTCCAGAAGAGGAGAGACTGCAGGACTTCAGTCCACAGAGGAGACTTGGTGGGGGATGGAGGGGGGGGCAGGGAATTCTAGGGGATGGGAAAGCTATCAGCAAATGTACTGAGGCAAGACTAAAAGTGGAGGACACACGGAACCCAGCCGGGCAGTGCTGGGAGCTCTGACTGGAGTCTATGACCAAGCAGGTAGAGCATGACCAGATCGTGGAGGGCCTTGGAGGCCAACTTGAAAAACTTGAAAAACTTGGGCACTGGGGACAGGGTTGTTAAAAACTTTACTCAGAGAACAAATACTACGGAACCAGGCACTGTGATGTGCATGGAGGATACAGTGGTGAACCCCATAGACATTTCCTGCTCTTATGACGCTTAAAATTTAGTAATGAAGACAGATACTGAACAAATACAAAATTTAAAAATCAAACATATAAATGAATGATATATAATTATACATCTTAAGACTATTAACAGAAAAGGTACTGAGCTCCAGGAGAGCCCTAGGGGCAGGATCTATTCTAGGAAATCAGGGGACTTCTCTGCGGAGGCAGTTTTGCACTGAGGTCTGAAGGATGCATAGGAGTTGGGCAGTGGAGGGTGGTAGGTGGAAGAGTATTGTAGGATTCCAGGCAGAGGGAACAGCACAGGCTAAAGTGCCCAAAACTGAAAAGCAGTGGTGGCTGCAGCCCATGAGAGAAGTGGTGCGTGGCCTGAGAGGCAGATCGAGCAGCGCCTTAGAGCCACATTAAAGATTCTGTCTTTATTCTGAGAGCCTGAAAAGCCACTGAAAAAAGGATTTTAACCTCAGGATTGACATTCAAATCTGCATTTTAAGAATGCTTGAGCTTCAGTGCAGAAGACAGATTGGAGAGCCTGAGTAGACAGGAGCAGCCCAATTAGGAGGCTGACAGAAGGTGACAACTGAGACTGGGGTGGTGGCAGAGGATAGATGAGAAGTAGACTTAAGAGGAAGGTGGCAGGTGAAACTGATGACGTGGGGATGAGTTGGACGTGTGCAGGAGAAAGCAGACGTCTGAAGTGACAGCTGAGCTGGGTCAGGAAAATCCAGCTCTTGTAGTGGGATCGAAGCTTGGTGAGCTGGTCAGAGCCTGCTGTCATATCCCAGATGCTAGGCCAATGCTGTGTAATAGGAAGTACCCCATTTTGGTGTTGGTGAGGCCTAGTTTAAATCCTGGCTAGCCATGGCACATTACCTAGGCGGGGAATTTTAAAAGTTCCTAATCTGGAAAATGAGGGTAGGGGGAGGAGGTGAAACGGGGCCTCCTACCTCATGTGGTTTTCCTATTAAGGTTCAATAAAAAATCAGATATCACGTCCCCGCCTGCTGCAGGCCAGCCCACCTCCACCTTAGATTTGAATATGCTGATGTAGACAGAAAGACATTTAAAAGTACATATGTAGTCTATCAGATATACAATAAACTCCATAAAGACAAGAGTGACATTTTATTCATCGCTGTAGTTTCCTGCCCTCTGAGATAAGATTGGTACATTCTCATGAACAACTTATTTTAGTTTGTAGCATGTATCACAATTATAATTTGAGAAGATTCACATAATTGTTTATTTAATATTTACCTTTGCCACAGGACTGTAAGATTCACAAAGGCAAGTAACATACCTATCTTGTATCCCAGTGCTGAGCACATGGAGGGTCTTTGGAATGAATGAATGAGTTTTTGTTCCCTCTTGTGTCTACCACTCAGCACAGAGCCTGACTCTCAAGTAACATACCTATCTTGTATCCCAGTGCTGAGCACATGGAGGGTCTTCGGAATGAATGAATGAGTTTTTGTTCCCTCTTGTGTCTACCACTCAGCACAGAGCCTGACTCTACGGTACAGCAGCAAATCTACTATATTCAGCAGAAGCTTGATGGATGAATGGTGCCATGTAACATGGAGTCTAGCATGAACTCTAAACCAGTTGATTGAAAATGGAGATAATTCATTCAGGTCACAGATATGGATCTGAGTATCCCCTTGATAAAAGGGCAGCTGTTCAGCTGGATCAGGTACTGCTGTGGGTCAAGGAAGGCCAGGGCTGAGAAAAGAGCATAATTCAGCAAAGGATCTCACTTGGGTGACCTCTCAGAGAAGGTGCCCAGTTAATAGTGGCAGTGGAGTGACAGCACAAGGACTGAGGAGTAAGTGGGCAGGCAGGGAGGGATGGAGACCTCCACTGCAGATGGCTGCTTTGGGCTGTTTGTAGTGATGTAAGAGAGAAAGCAAAGGAGATTGCTCATTAAACGTAGGCACTTCAGGTGTGCTGAGGGCCCTGGGGAAGGAGGAGATAGGAAACCAAAGCTTCTGAGAGCACCTGGGCAGGGATGCTCCCTCCCGTGCGCACTGAGGGGCGGCAGGGAGCTTAAGGTGTCCCCAAGGGGATGAGGGGAAGGGGACCAAGTGGTTTACATGAGGCGTTTTATCTAATTCTAGCCCCAGCCCCACTCCCCACCACCAGGAAGAGTATATTATCATCTACCCCCTCCCCTTATCCTCCAGAGCAAGAAACAAGCTCGGAGAGGCTAAATAACGTGCTCCAGACTCAAAATGAGTGAGTGGCAGGACTGAGGCTTGATTCAAGTCTGTCCCCAGGGACACACTGGGAGAGATTCCTGCCTGGGGTCTTCTCCCTTCTGGCCTTTGGGTTGGTGCAGGAGGTGCTGCTCCCTGGGAACTGAGAACCTGAACTAAAATCTAAGCCAAGAAAACACAGGTCTTCTGTGAACCTTTCAAAACTCCTTTTCAGGGCTGTATGAGGACTTTTGTGGGCCTCGGGCACTTCTGTCTTTGTGGGCTCCTTCCTGCGTAAACAATACCAAACATCATATTTCAAGACTGTGTAGGTCTAAAGCCGAATATACTAATATACAGTATAGCACAACATTTTGTTCGACCTAAACATTTCTTTCTTCTGATTTTAAGGAAAACGTTTTTACAGATCTCCCGAAGTTCTGTGGACCCAGTAAGGCCCAATGCCAAAGTCGTTCTGCTCCTTTCTCATCCTGCAGTCTGACCTGTTCCACTCCGGCATGCTAAGAGCAATGCAACCACAGTCAGGGCACCTCAGGCTGCCTACCTCCGTTTGCAGTCTGCAAAATGAGTCACAGTAATGTAACGCTTGTTGTGTGCGGTGAGAGTGGATTAGGTGAGCAGATACCGCCCCACATACTGCGTGGCACAGAGTAGGTGTGCAACAAAAGTTAGTTCTCAGGCTTTTCCTCCTTCCAGCACCATCCTCCAAAGGGCCCACGGTGTAACCAGGGTTGGGGCAGCAGCCTCCTTGGTGATGGGACAGAGCCCGCAGTGTCCCTGCATCCTATGATTTCCTCGCCAGACCCTGGGAATCCAGCGTCGCAAAATAAACACGGCCGCGCCTCTGGTCGCCAGCTCGAAACAAAACAGCGCTGCGCTCGGGGATCCGGGCAAAATCAGCCCTCCCTCCTCCCGCTCCTTCGCCGCCGCCCTCCCTGCCTCGCGCTGCTCGGCTCGCTCGGCTCGGCTCAGCTCCGCGCAGCTCGGCAGCCGCCAAGCCGAGGCGGGCACGGTCTCCGAGTCGCCAGCGCCGGCTCCGAGCTCCCTCCCTCCGCCCGGGCTCCGCCAGGTCTCGCCTCCGCCCGGACCACTTCAGGCACGAGTCGCGTGGCGAGGGCCGGCGGCAGCGGCACAAAGTTGGGGGCCCGCGAGGATGAGGCTGTCCCCGGCGCCCCTGCGGCTGAGCTGGAGTCCGGCGCTGCTGGCCCTGGCTCTGCCCCTGGCCGCGGCGCTGGCCTTCTCCGACGAGACCCTGGACAAAGTGTCCAAGTCGGAGGGCTACTGCAGTCGCATCCTGCGCGCCCAGGGCACGCGGCGCGAGGGCTACACCGAGTTCAGCCTGCGCGTGGAGGGCGACCCCGACTTCTACAAGCCGGGAACCAGCTACCGTGGTAAGTGGCCCGGCGCGGCGCTGGGGGCGCAGGACTCAGCCCCCGGAGGTCCCCCACCGCGCGCGGTGCCGGAGTAGGGCGAGTGGTCGCCAGGCGCACGGTGCCGGCGCAGCCCTGCAAGGGCCCTTCTATCCTGGCTGCCCTCCGTCCTTTTAGCCGTGAGCTCGGGACCGATCGCGAGCCGGCGCGTCCGGGGACGTCGCGGGGGCTGCAGCCAGGAGAGGCAGCCCGGATCTCCGACGCGCGGTTCCTAGGCGGGGGCTGTAGCGGAGCCACGCGTCACGCCGGCCTGGTTGCAACGGAGCCCCGCTTCTCCCCCAGCCGTCTGCAGGGGAGAAGTAGACCCGCCTTTCTCCAGATCGGTCTCTGGAGTGGACGGGGCCCTGGATGCTCTCGGGCAGGTCCCAGGCAAGGCAGTGACTCCAGCTTTCCCCGCTAACATCCCTAAAGGACAGGGTACCAGTTTCTCGCAGACCGGCCCGGGGCGGGACGGTCACTCCGGCTTCCCGGGATAGATCCCTTCAGGAGAAGGGACTTTAGCTTCTCTGTATCCGGTCCCGGGGCACGGGGAGAAGGGGAGGAAGAGCCTGAAGCTCCTCAGAAGTGTCCCTGGAAAGAACCCCAAATTATTCTCTGATGGTCCCAGGCTAGGGAGAGAGGACCTTGGATTTCCAGGACAGGTTCCCAATGGGAATGGTGTCCCCAAAGAGCTCTGGGTAGGCTCCGAGCGGGGAGCCGAGGGGAACTGGATGAAGGCGGAAAGGGAAGCCCCGATTCCCAAGGCCTGCTCCCTGGAGGACAGGGACCTTGGCTCCAGCAGCCCCGAGGCTCCGCACCCCAGGGATGTCGCGCCAACGCTGCTCAGCTGAGAGCGGGTTTCGGGAGCACAAGGAGGGGGTTTCCAAGCAGGTGCGCGTCTCTTGGGCAGGACAGGCCGCTCGGCCGGCACCGACCTGAAGACCCCTGACTCCACCCTCGCGGCCCACCGCCAGCCTCCTCGGCAGGCTCATCTCCCCAGACATCTTTTCCCCATGCAGCAGCCGCCGCTCTCCGGGTGGGAGACAGGACACCAGGCAGAGAAGGAAGCTGCCTGGTCTTTCCTGGGGTCCCGCAAGGGAGCGTGTCCCCTCACGCCCGCCCCTTCATAAGTCAGCTGTGGTGCTAGGCAGGGGACAGCGGGTCACTGGGGCACCTAGTGGGGCAGATGGTCTCCCAGCCGCCGTCCTTCCATCCCCGCCTTCCCGGCTGCCTAGAGCGTCGCGGGAGGAAGCGGTGGGAGCGACACGGGAGAAAGTTTGGGTCGGCGGGCGCCCGGGCCACGCGGGACACCAGAACCAGGGGCCACCCTTCTCGGAACGCTTCTCCCGTTTTTCCGGGTTCGTGTCCCCGACTTTCTCCACCCGGAGCTACCCAGAGCGGCTCCCGGGTGCCCTCAACACACGACAGGGAATGATCTGACCCTGGCGCACGAGTGCGTGGGATCCTCGGTGCTCCACGAAGAAAGGTGTTGGGCGGAGAACACCCCGCCCAGGCCGGGAGGGAGCGCGCGGGTCGCGGCGGCGGCTGGAGCGAGCCGAGCCGACGTGTGGGGACAGCCACTCAGCGGAGCCAGTCCAGAGGTGGCCAATCCATCCCGTGGACCGGAGGGAAGCGCGTGTAACCTCCTGGCCTATTCAGTCCTCCGCAAAACGGAGGGCCTGGGTTCACCCGGGAAACTGCCCCACCTCCACGTGGCGGGGAAAGGGGTGGCTCTGGAGTTAAATGGACTTGGGTTTAGCAGTATGTGACCTTGTGCAAGTCGTTAGTTTGGCTGAACCTATTTTTCAGCTGTAAAAAGTTTATCCAGCTTCTCTTGATGGTTGTAGGGAGTAAATGAGTTTACAAAGGTGAGTGCGCCTGAGCTACAACAGGTCCCCAATACATGTTAGTTTGAGCTGGATGCGAGGCCTTTATTGGTTTAATAATGGAGGGATGTTCCAGTCCAATCTATCAGTAAATGGTAATTATCTGGATCCTTATGAACTGAATGAATGAATGAATGAACGAATGATTTCCCCACACTAGGAGACTTGCTTAAGACTGTTTCTAATTTAAGCCTAGGAAGATATTTTTCAGTGATTCAGGCTTGTCTTGGCTCAGAACAAGTGTCCTCCCCGGCATCTCTTTCCACATTAATCCTCCGTGTTTAGATGAGCATTGGCAGCTGGTGGCCCCAGCACTGAGAGGAGGCACATCTGGTATTCCCATGGCAAGAGAGGTTCCAGAACTATCTAAAGATCCAGGGCCAGCAGGTGGGGAACTGGGACTGGAGGGGGGGGGCACCGGACTTTCACCCTACAGGCTACTCCAGCCTAAGCAGTTAGCTTTTTGGACTTTGACTCCCCCACACGCGGAGGTGTAGGTCCAGCAATCATCTTATCTGCTTTCTTGTGGCTAAGAGATCTTGAAAGAAAGGTCTTGTAGGAACCATGCTGAGGTCTTCTGAGTAAACATTCTGAGATTAGCAAACCTAATTCCACCATTCAAAGTTAGGAAGAAAGGGCGCTGGCCTAGTTTGTGACATTTTCTATTGGCTTATGCTTTCTTAGAATAATTGTGTTAAGAGTTAATCTAATGCATTCTGCTTGGTGTATTGACTTAGGGCTGTGGAAGTTAACATTCCCCTGGTGTTCTATTTGCTTTTTTATTTTTTCCTGAATTACAATCTCTCACAATCCTTGGAATCAATGGTTTGTTTTCCTGCCTCAAATCTTTGTCCCCAGTATGCCAGTTCATTCCCAGATAGCTTCTGCTCTCCGTGCCCCTCAATCCAAGTATAGCCTTAGGGAATTTTAGACTGAAGTATAGTGGTCACTATTTAAAAATATTGAAACATGGGCTTTCTTCCCCACAGCCTGGGTCCGATTGAAATTATTATTCAGATTTTTCCAAGTTGTTAGTACTGTATTGACTTTCTTTTCTCTCCCACCACTTCTCTCCACTCTCCCTCCCTTTTCCCCCAGATCCCCCCCTTAACCACAATAATTATGCTTTAGAAAGCTCTGAAAGGCCTGCTCTGTTTCTGACCATGGCCTCCTTTGAAAAGGAGATTACAGTGATTAAAAATAACAAGTTGAGGATCCTCAAGGGGCTTCCTTATAGGAGGACAATTTGCAGGACCAGCCTTTCCCAGATCACAATTTCAAGCCAAACAGAAGAAAATCAGCTGAAATGTTCAAGACTTGATTGAAAATAAAAGAGGCTCTTTTGTGTGACCAAAGGTCTGTTTATTAGGAAAATAAAGTCAGAGCCTGGCTAATGAGAGTGGCTTTTCCTCGATGCTCTTTAAAGGGAAATTTCAAGGAACTTGATGGGAAAAGAATGTCCAGTCGAGATTTCAAAAGCTGGTCCAACTTCAAGCATAATTGGGGGATTTATTCTAAACCAGGAGGTTCGGAGACCTCCAAAGCTGTCTTATTTTCTGCCCATAGAAGTAATCACCTCAGCCTGATGGAAAGAGTATAGGCTTTGATGTTGGGTGGGTTGGTTTCAATTCCTGCTTGGTCACTGTGTGACCTCAGGCAAGCCACTTCACCTCTTTGAGCCACAATTTCCCCATCTGTAAAATGGGGGTGGGTATTTTTCCCCCCAGCATTATTGTGAGAATTAGAAATAATCCATGTCAAAAGAAATTGTCACACAGTAAGTGCTAAATATATATATATATATATTATGAATGATTATTTTGGAAATAGAAAAATGCTTAGCAGCAAAGCACTGGATAATACAGTGTAAGTTCTTCCTACACATCTTATTTATTCCTTATAGTAGTTAGAGGCAGTTTATTATTATTCTTATCTTACAGATAAGAAGACTAGGTCTCAGAGAGGTTTAGTTCCTTATCCATAGTCACACAGCTAATGAACAGTGCAATCAGGATGCAATTTCAGGTCTGTCTGACTCCGCAATTGTGCTCTTTACTGGTCTTCTGTGCTGACTCAATGAAATGAGTTAGGAGGAGAATGAATTCACTCAGCTACTCTCAGCCTTCTGGATGGTGAGTCTTCCTTGAAGGAAAATAGCAACAACAAATCAAGGTAATAACTGATATATCTTAGGACACAGAGTAACAAAGTGAGGGGTCCTTATTTACATTTGCTTGTTTTTCTTTTTATAGGTTTCAGTATTGCATTTCCTCATAAACCAGAAGATTAATTTAGAAACATGAAGAACCTTGTCAGTCTTTAGCCAATTCCTTTTGTTTTTAGGGAAACAGAAGCACATTGGATAGGAAAAAAAAAAAAAAAAAAACAACTCTGTTGTTTTATTTTTACCTGCAGATGTTAAATGACCAGGACTATAAAATTATGTTTGAAAAGAACATACACAGGATCTGAGAAATTTAAGCTGGTAAAGATCTTTTAAATAAGCTATTTCTTATATAATGTTTTAAAAAATTAAGTATTGGTCATCATCATATTATAATTATTATAATTAGATAATTATTAATCTGTCACCCCTCCCA